GAATTATACCGTGACGTGGCGGGCAACGAACTCACAACGCTCAGCCATGGTGGAAGCATAGAGCTAGTGGAAGCATGGAGCTGTAAACACATTATAAAAACAACAGCACTTTATCACGCGACGTCACATGCTTGCGCTGCAAATAGCGAGCACCGTAGACCCAACCTCGTTTCCAGAGTGTGGAGCAGGCTGCAGTACGCGTTTGCCATCGACGGTTTTACGCAGAGCCCGGGAGTACTACGCAGTGTAGACTTTCGATTGGTCAGACCGCGCAAGGCATACTAAATATGTGTAGTCCTCCTGAGTATTCGTTGCACTCGGCGCAGGGGCGCAAGCGAAGCACAGGAAGAATAGGGACACTTGGTGGCCATGCACCATGGAGAAAAAAATATTTTGCCAAGGTCACCCCATGCTACCGTTTGGTGAACACTTTTGTAGAACAGCCGAGTAGAACACGTAAGGGCAACCCCTACGTTGACGTCGCTGACCTCGCAAAGTCTAGACACGCAGAAAAGCCAGCACAGGGGGCGGCCAGGCAGTCAACGTGAAAGCGCGCACGACGGCAAATTCCTGCGCAAAACGCAATCACGAAAAATCGACGAAACGGATCGCCGGTCCGTACGGGAAAATCAGGACGACCCGAAGTGTCCGACCCGCGCGGAAGACACCCTCCGCATTTTTCCACGGACGTGGAGCGATTTTGGCGCCGCGGGAGCCCGCGGTCTCGGATCCTTTCATGAGCAAACATCGTCTGGCAGGCCGAGTTAAACTCTCTCTTATATATATAGATACGTGTATTCAACTGCTGGACAAATACTAATCTACATTGGTTTCGATAAAGTTAACACTGACTGTATTATAGAAGCACTTCAAAGACGGTGTCAAGTTTAATAAAGGTTTGGTTGAACTACTTCCTTGGAGGTACTTTGACACGACGGGAACCGACTTTAATTTCCTGGTGCATGCGTTAGGGTTCACACCCATTCACTGGTTGTAATGTTTAAATTGACAATCATGCCTTCAAGTTGTCTTTTCAATATTATTTTCATCGATTTATACTAACTTTTAGGCCCTAACTGTAGCAGCGAGCGAGCGCGCGCGCAGGCTGGAAAGGCATCCTGCTTTTCTTCAGGGGCGGACTATTTTGACGTTAGTGGCGCCACTTCAGGGGCAGATCCAGGAATTTTCGCTGGGGGGGGGGGGTTCGTCAGCAAAAAATATGAAAATGTACACAGGTTTTTTCTCCGGACACTTGGCCGTAAAATCAAAAACAAAAACTGGGGGATAATGCACTGATCTAGACTGGATAGCGGATATCCATACACCAGTCACACAGTAGACTTCGCATATTGACCATAGAGCTATATTAAATTACTAGAGCGCTAACTCCTCATTCTGCGCGCGCGCGGAGACGCTTTGAAAGCCGTCCGGGCGCAGACATTTTGAATTCATGTGCGTGTTTTAGTCAGGTTCACTATGTATTTTCGTTGGGGTTTTATGGGGATTAGCAAAACTTTACATTTTTGAAAACGTTATGACCTACTGAATCCAAAACTAATGTTTTCTATTTTTTCCGACGCCATTATGTCGGCCATTTTGTGGGGACGTAATAAAAGGGGGCGGATCCATCCCCCCACTCTAAGATCTTGGCCGTGCCATGACAGATTTGATTCAATTTGGTATTCTTGTGAAGATAACACTGCTAAGAACATGTGTAGAGTCTCAGTTTAATAGAACAAAGCATTCTGTAATTATCTTGGTTTATAATTCACATTAAAAAATTATCACTTTATCCTATACATATTCAATGAAAAACTTTTACGATACCCTGCGTTTGCAATTGATATTTCGCAATAACTATAGGTCCGAATTTTGTAAAATAAGTTTCCCCTTGTTGCATATCACATCGGCATAATATTTAGTTTCATTTACGCTGTGGACGACATTTTGAAAGGCACAAATATTGGGAGCAGGGGGGCGGGGCGAGGGATTCCACAGTTCTTGTATTGGGTTAAACATGAGTAATCCTTACTAGTTCTTTGTAGCCTGCGCAGGAACATATTAGGACACGGACACAATTAACACTTCGTAAAATAATCAACACCAAATAGGAGGGCATGTACATGTACATTAACACATACAATGGTTCTTTTTAACATATTGTAGCTAAATTCAAAACTGAGCAGAATACTTAGGCCACGATGGCCCAGCGCCTGAATTCCCGCACTTGAAATAATGAGTGCTTCAGTACGCGGTGTACCCTCGTGGTACCGGTGTCACATGAAAATCCGACTCCTATGATAATCGGACCCCTGTTTCCCTATTATTGGTTGATCCCTCGCACGTGACAGGTCACTCTCCCGAAACGATCCTAAAAATAGCGTAGTATCGTATTCAAGCGTGCGCAGTATTACCAATGAGTCCACATTTCATGGAGTCGGATATTCACGCTACACCGGCACTCGATAGTCTGAATGTTAAAAAGTCCGAAAAATTCCCGTACCGGGGTTCATTATAGTAAGAAAATGAAATAAGGTTAGTTAATTCAAGCATTTATTTTGATGATAAAGTCAGAAGGTTCGAAAGTCAAAAGGATAAGTTAATTAGTCCGAAGGTTCATTAATCCGAAAGCACACCAGGTTCATTTGTCCAAATTGACAATAAAGTTCGATGCTGTCAATTCGGGCTATCGAACTTAATCGTCCAGTCGGACTATCGAACTTTCGAATTGCGGACTAATGAACACTTAGGACCAATCAAGTTTTTGGACTAACCAACAATGGACTAATGAACATTCGGATTAACGAAGCTTCGGACTATCGAACCTTCGGATCAACGAAACTTAAGACTATTGAACCTTCGGAATAGCGAGCGGTCACCATACACTCACAGAAGCCCCTTCCATGGCGAAAGCATGGTGCAAGCTGGTGCTATTGCAAAGTAACTGCCCCGAGACGGATTGTCTGAACAATAGATGGCACCATTTCAAACCAGTATTGCCTTAGCTATGCCTGGACAGGTCATCACTACAGAGTGCTTGCTCCTTAATCCTGTGTCCTGTGTCCCCATGCAATCCTGAGTTCTTGATAATCTGCCCTGAGTGAGAGAGCCCATGTGAAAGATCATGACATGTCACGTTGTAGACTGCCTCTATCATACCAAGTTCACACTTCTGGCCTTCAGTTAGACCTGTTGTTATTGGTAATTGACCAAATGAGATACATATGTATAGGACTTGTGATAGTCAGAATTATAAAGCAGAACAGTAAGTATGGCTCCTGGTGAGATCAGTCTTGAGGATGTGTTTATGCTTCTGAGAATGGATGTACCGGCATAGCAGGGATGAGGAGGAGTTGCAATAGTCTCATGCAGAAAACAGAGTCGGCAGAAGTTAAGGGTCCGCTAATTATGCAGAACTGACTGCTCAGATTCTCATTTGCAATAGACTGAGGTTAGGCTGTATGCGAAAAACAACATAGGGCAACACCCTCAGAAGAAAATATGACCACACATTTTGGAGACCATGGTACAGGGATGCTGCTACCTACATCCTGGAGGCCTACAACTAGGGCCTTAATACAACATTTCGCTGTCGCATGCACCAACACAATACTCGATCTGCAGCACTAACATCAGATGGCTTATAACATAGGACCCCATCAGGTCGTTGTTCCCCATCTCCCCCATCTCCAGAAAAGAGTGCACAGTAGAAAGTGACGGCGAATCACAGGGGATCTACGAAGAGGGGAAAGCAAGATTGGGGGTCTAGTGCAGCTAGAAGGTCCTCTGGGGAGACTAAAAAATTTTGAAGACTTGCTATAATGGCTGGACAGGTGGCCAGGCAAGGAATGTCTTGTAACATTCTTGCAAGGAGCGGCCGGAAGTTTAAGGCAACTTTGCTTTGAAAGATGGGCAGGAAACCTAGGGTGACTTGGT